TAAAATAAAAGAGAAATGCAAAGAATAAGTGGCTTAAAAAAGTTTATTTAATTTTAGAAGTTTAGGCATAAATTTAATTGGACATGAATGGTATATGATATGTTATTGTAGCGGTACATGTGAGAACCCTGCGCTCCAACGAAGGTAAAAGCATAGACAGACGGCAGCGTTTATCCGGATCAACTCGTTAATTAGGAATTATCTCGGGAGTTCACTGCAGTTGATCCAGATAAAGGCCTAGAGTTAATTCTCAAGCTAACGTAGAATGTAGAGAACATGCAAAAATAGGCTGGACATCGGCACCATCAGCAGTTGTGCATTCACCACACTAATTCAAGTAGCACCCAGGCTCGATCCTTCCTCTGAGCAATTCTTAAAAATCATGTTTATTTTTAATTTTGAATCGACTTCACATAAAGGAGAAGGTTATCAGTTCGTCGGAATATTTTTATTTCTTGATTTTTTTTATGTATGTTACCGCATAACTTTGGAACACGTTAACCGACTTCTATAATTATTCTTAAAAAGGAATGACAGAGGGGGCTGCTCTGGCTGCAATTTTCTAGAATACCGCGATATATTTAAGGCCGAAATCCTTTCTGCCACTAAATCAATTGAATCTAAAGCTAAAACGGTGTTACATTAGGCGATTTTACAGGCAACTTTTATATGAAAGTTTGTGTGAACGGTCTTTCAGCTAATCGCTTCCAATGACGTTGGGGCAGCCAACGTTTGATTCAACTAATCGCCGCTAGAACATCGTTTTAATAAACTTTTTCCAACTCTTGTGTGACCGAGCTTTGCAAATTCTTTTTAAAGTTTCCAAGATTTGTGTATCAAATACTGGTCATTTGGATTGCTTTAAAAAAAAATATTTTGGAAATAAATTTAAAAACATTTAGATTCTGATATCTACAAAGTAAATTTGTTACTTAAAAATTTAGGTGGCAACCATATTTTGAAATACGCTGGAAAGAATAGTACATATCTTACAAAAAAAAATGCTGATTGAAATTAACAAAATAAAACATTGCATTACATAGATGCGTGGCAACTCTGGACGAAAATAATTTTTGACCATTGTTCTCACNCTGATTGAAATTAACAAAATAAAACATTGCATTACATAGATGCGTGGCAACTCTGGACGAAAATAATTTTTGACCATTGTTCTCACCAGTACCTTTCATTTGATATCCATATTGCGATGTTTTAGATAAATTGTGTAGAGCCGAAAATAAGTGGCAACCTTCAACTAATTTCCTAAGGGATAACACTTAGTGTATAGGGGGAAAGCATTGTTTAAGAACATTCTCTGGGTACCCATGAATAGTAACATTGGACCTGTACTTTCTACAAAAAAGAATATGCGATTCAAAGTAGGTGGCAACCTTATTAAAAATATTTTTTATTTGGGTATTTTTAAAATACCTTACATTTGATACCCATATTATAATTTGTAACAAATTTCGAATAGGTGGCAACCTTATACGTGTTCGCTCGGGGGTAACACCTACTTATATGGCTTTAAAATGCAAAACCTGATACCGAAAATAACAGTTATTTTTTTTTAACAGCTAAATTTCGCCAAATATTTTTGAAGTCTATAATAAAGGTCCTTGCCGTATAATTATCAAATGAAAGAGGACGGAAATAGCTTTTAAACAGAAATAACGACCGAAGGTTTGCGCCTCTTTTTAAAATTTTTTTTTATAATATAATACAAAAGAAATTCATATACTTGACCCAAGTTTTGTTCTATGTTAATTAAATAATATTTTTATTAAAATATTTTTCAATGGTTGGCTTTCGTCGTTTAGGCATTTTAATTTCAACGCTATTTTAGTCCTCTTTCATTCAACATACCAAACTTTTTTAATATTTATAAGCGGTTTGTTCATTATTAGGAAAGGACTTTTATTTCGGCTTTAAAAATAATTTTGGTCAAGTTTAACTGCAACAAAAAACTTTTATTTTCATGCCCTGTACAAAACATTATCTGTATACAAAATTTCATAAAATTTCGTTAGAACCGTTTCAGAGCACCTTTTGGGTATATATGTATACTTATAAGACTTGATGCACGTAAGTATTTTATTGGGGAGAGCATGAACTCAAACTCTGATTATGGGTGGCATAACTCAAGTGTTTTTCAGAAAGACTGTATAATGGCACACAATTTCGGGCGGAATTTCGTTAGACATACGCCTATGTGCAGCAAAAATACTTTTGCCTGTAAATAATTGAGCTGCATTTCTGTTGGCATCTCAAACAAGCATACACAAATAAATAACTGATTGCAAAATAACTTTAAACTTTCTTCTTTTCCGCTTTTTAACTTTAAAGCGTAGTCATCTTGTGGATTTGCGACAACTTCAGTTTCAGCCATTCACTGTCATCTTGGTAATCCTATCCGCTTACGCCTTTACCGTCGCTCCGTCATTTCCTGATTGTGTTTCACTGCACTTGTCGCGGTGAGTTATAAACCTCGTGTTGCCAACGGTGCGGTATTCCGAGACTCGCGCGTTGTCAAGTTGTCACGCGTCGGCATAGGTTTCCCGCCGGCAACTCGCGCCTCTTTTGCACACCAAAACGCCAGCAGCGAACAACATTCCTTAATGTTTTTTTTTTTTTTGAAATCTCTTCCTGCTTGTATTTGCATCCCAGCAGTGTATGAATATCGCACTGCCACTCCCTAACTTGACTTTTTAACTCACTCGCGTCTTAACGCTTCGTCGCGAACGTTGATGCTTCATTTGGTTACGCTGTTCACTGTTTACAGTTGCTGTTATTTCCAATTTAGTTAGTGCAGAGTATATACTCCTGCCACCTCCCAAATATTTACGTATGTATATAAATGCCATCTGCTTTTAAACTTACACTTCCCTTTGCACCAATTGTTGTATCCACTCAGAGCAGTGAGTTGACGTGCGTCAAAGTTTACTTGGCGCTCTCGGTTTACTTATCACCCATTAAATCTTCTTCTTTTTTAACTCACTAACTAAAGTAC